CTTTTTAGTTTAATGAGCTCTCACTTGTCTATTGTTGACCTTCATTCCTGAGTGACTAAAGTCTGATTTTAAAAGTCCTTTCCTGTACCTTTATTTTATAGGATACTGCCTGTGTATTCCTCTAACAGTTTCAGTGTTTCAGGATTCACACTGAGGTCTTTGATCATTTGGAGCTAACTTTTGTGCAGGGTGATAGATATGGGTCTAATTTCATTTTTCTACACATGGAAATCCAGTTTTGCCTGCACTATTTATTGAAGATGCTGTCTTTCTTCCAGTGTGTATTCTTGGCACCTTTGTCAAATATCTGGTGGCTGTAATTGCTTGCACTCATGTTTAGATCTTCTGTTTTATTCCATTAATCTACAAGTCTGTTTTTGTGCCAATACCATGCTGTTTTTGTGACTATGGCTCTGTAATATAGATTGAGGTCTGGTATGGTAATCTTCCTGGCATTGCTCTTTATGCTCAGGATTGTTTTGGCTATCTGGGGTCTTTTGTATTTCCATAGGAATTTTAGGATGGATTTTCTATTTCTGTGATGAATGTCATGGGATTTTGATGGAATTGCATGCAGGATGTAAATTGCTTTTGGTAGAATGCTCATTTTTATTATATTGATTTTACCAATCCATGAGCACATAATTTCTTACTTTATTCTAAATATAATTCTCATATTTACAGACAAGTGTACCCTTCACCCTTCACCAAAGAAACTTCTTTTTGCAACAGATGGAGACTATTACAGAGTTATAGAATTGGTCAAATATAAACAGTAAGTGTCTCTGAGATGCTTAACCCCAAGTGGTACATCTTCAATGCAACCTCTACACATAAAATGAATGCTTCTCTCACCTCTCACCAGAGAAGTTTCCTTATGCAGCAGATGGTGATTAACACAGAAACTTACAATTGGCCAATGTGCAGAGAACAAGAAGCAGCAGAGTGCTTATCCTTGAATAGGGCAGCTATGTCAAACCTCTGCCTCAAAAGGCTCAGGGATCATTGCAGAAGAGGGATGGAAAGATTGTAAGAGCTGGAGGGGGTAGATGACCACAAGGAAAGTCTTTCAGACAGCTGGTCAGTTACTCATTTGAACTCATAGCAATGGTGACAGCATGCACAAGTCCTATACAAGCTCAAACCAGACAAAATCCCACCATGAATACTGAAAAGTGGGTAAGAAATCCCAACCCAACCCAAGGAACTTTTGGCAATTGATAGCTATAGAGAGAGGGAAAGCCAGTGTCTTATAGGACTGGAACTCTTGGTGGGCTCAGATGAACCCACACTGAAGGATCTTTGGGGACATAAATGAGACTCTATAGGCCGTATGTATAAGAGTACATTAAATTGGGCACGGGGCAGTGGGAGGAGGTGCAGATAGGGCAGGGGATCTAAATATCATCAAACTATATTCTATGAAAATCACAAAAAGTCAATAAAAAAGAAAATGTTATAACGAAACCCATTGCTTCGTATACCAAAATTAATTTTTACAAAGAGAAAAAAGTAAATGAAAGCAAAAAGTAAACTTTTCTATAACAAAACCATTGTTATCTTTGAAAGGTTTCTCTTTCTCTGTGTGGTCTTTTATCCTTTGTGCAGCGTTGTTTTCTTAGCCCACCCCATCGATCCCTGACTGGCTTTATCAATGTCAGTTCTGCTTTTATTTCTCTTTCAGTGGCTTTATTCCCTAACATCAACCTTTTCCTATTTTCTGCCTTCTTTGATGTCTTACACATTTTATTTTTATCTCTTGTTTCAAAGAAGAGTCACATTTTTAAGCTCCTTCAGGCTCACCAAGAATATTTGAAATTTTCTTTTGCCCTGTGGCCTGGTTCTTCAATAGAGATTATTTCATGTGTGTTTGTCCTGATCCTTTCTGGTTTGTTGCTGCTGCTGCTGCTGCTGCTGCTGCTGCTGTTGCCATTGGTGGTAGTATTTTAATGTTTAGGGGGAGAAGGCCTCCACAGGTGCCTCAGGACCCTTCCTCATAAAATTTTGTTTCTTCTCGACTGATTGCCTTTTAGCAATCTCTCCCTCGGTGCCTTTTCTTCCTCTTGCTTGTCAGAGGGCTTCCATGTGTACCACAGAGATTTCTACACGTATGAGTTTTCTGGTGGGTAATTCTGCTTTGTATACTTTTCTGCCATTGATTGCCATTTGTATTCGTGTGTCCTGCCTCTCCCTACTCATTTCTTAGGGATAAAAATGCATAGGTGTGTGCATTGTCCCTCAGCTTCTATCTAGTGCTTACTGCATCTAATCTACCCAAAGACCCCAGTGACTACTTGCTCTTCCTTTTGTATTTTGTCCTCAAAAAAGGAACTGATTCAGCATTTTTTCATTGTTTCACTTATTTCTTAGAAAGCTTTTTTTTTTTCTGGCTTAGTCTATAGGTTTTATTTGCTTATTAGCATCCTTGATTTGGTCTAATATTAGTCAGCATCCATTCTGGTTAGACACAGTTTGAAGGCTGGATCATCATTTCATTGAGAGTGGTCTTCCCTACCTTCTTTTCTGTTTTCAACTATGTTTGCAGTTTTCAGTTGATAGGAAGAGAGATAGCATTCAAAATGCCACTCTCATGCCCATTCCACAAGATAAATTAACTGGTTAAGAAATAAAATAAAATGCATACTAACTGTATGTCAGTATTGGTTGTTTGAAACACACACACACACACACACACACACACACACACAAAACACATACACACCATATACACACCTTAACAAATTAAGCTAAACCCTTGAAATGGGTTATAAATAGGCTAGTCAAATCAAATGTGATACAGATTCTCACTGCTGAGCCTTTGAGCAGTGGAAGGCAGTGGATTGCAGGTGTGGGCTGAGGGATGGCAAATGTCTGAGTAAACATTATAGGAATATTCCAGATAAAGAATGAACGTGGACCTCTGGCTCCTTGTCCTTCAGTGTTTCTTCATTGGACCTTTGGGGGATCTCTCAGAATGGTGGTTGAAGAAAAAATAAGGCCTTGTTATCAGCAGGCTTGTTTTAGACTTTAGAAGAAGTCCTGATAGTTTTGTCAACTAAAATATCAACTAGCAATTGCATTAAGGCATTTTGTTTTATCTTGCCAAGATTAGTGTTTTTACTAAATATCATGACAGGTGTGATTATACAGAGCAGCTAGGCAAATAGTCCTCTGTCAGGAAATCTGATCTATAGAGTTAAGAAGCCGCTTTGACATGCCTGGTCAGTAAAGTGTCAGTGCCAGAGCTGATCTCTCCTCAGCTGTCATAGCATAGCTGTCGTCTCTTGCCAATACATTCTGCCACTGTGATGCATCTAGGTGGCCACGATTTTAACCAAAATAGATGATGTAGTGTGTATGGGATAGTTAGAAGTCTGCCCAAATCATTAAAATTCAGTTGTATCACATAAATATCCAAATTCTAAACAGCAGTGTTTGAGAGGGTTTTATGCCATCTTTATCTCATTAGTGTATGTTCACTGTCCAAAATGATAGGTTCTCATTATGGCATTTTCATACAAATATATCATATACTTTTATCACATTGCTCATGAAAGTTGCTCTTTCCCTTCCTTTTAGCCCTTTTACTTCCCAGTCCCCATCTACAGTCATCCTGTTCTCTCTCTCTCTCTCTCTCTCTCTCTCTCTCTCTCAGTGTTCAATCAAATTTCTTTGTGTGAGACAGTATGAAATGCTTGCCTTTCTGAGTCTGGCTTCTTTCACTTAACAGGATAACTTCCAGTTCCACTCATTTTCTTATAAATAACACAGTGTCAGTCTTCATTGTGATGAAATGAAATTCCATTGTGAATGTATACCACATCTTCTTATCTGTTCATCTGTTGGTGGACACCTAAGCTGATTCCATGTCTTGACTGTTGTGATAAACAATACCAATAAGCAAGGCTGTGCAGTATCTCTGTGGTGTGCTGAGTCAGATTCTTTCAGGTATATACCCAAAAAAAGGCTACAACTGGATCATATGACAGTTCTATTTGTAGTTTTCTAAAGATTCTCCACTAATTTACAGTCCCTCTTCCCACAGTGTATAAGAATTCTTCCTCTCCACCCCAGTTCTCACCAGCATGTGTTATCATTTGTTTACTTTCTGATTTGGGTGGGTAGACTCTCAGCATAGTTTTAATTTGCACAGCCCTGATGGCTTAGGGTATTGAATATTTTTTTCAAATGTTTATTGGTCACTGGTACTTCATCTTTTGAAAACTGTTTAATTCATTTGCCTATTTGTTGACTGAAATATTTGTTCTTGGCATTTGATTTTTAAGTTCTATATATTTTAGATATTAATCCCATCTGACATTGCACTTTGCTCTGTAGCTGACCGTGAATAATAATCCAGCATTTCATTTACTTATACATCCATGTTACTTCATAGGACGACTTGAACATGTTTGTTTCTTGTTATTATGTATTAATTTCTGTCAAGGTGAACAGCCAATTAAGAAAGTCAGTATTTGGTAAACTAAAGACACAAATGACCAACAGAGGAGTTTTGTCTTTATTATTTATGATTTTTATCTACTTGAAAGCTCTACAAAGAGAAATCATGTTTATCAAACCTTTATAGAAAAACAAATGCATGAAGTTGAGACTCTTTCAGGCAATCAGAAAGTGTTGACACAAAATATGCTCTGTGAGTTCAAGGCCAGCCTGGTCTACACAGTGAGTTCCAGGAAAGCTGGGGCTACAGGGACCTGTCTCAAAAAGACAAAAAAAAAATGCTCAGTATAAGTTCATTTTCCTGTAAATATGGCATAGATAACCTCTTAAAGTTGCTGTGTCTTTATAAATTTTCCTTAAAATATTGATATTTATATCAAGAATTTATACCTTGACAAAACAAGTGCCATGGTTCTGGCCCTCATAGTCCCTCGCATCTGTGTCCAGCTGGTGGTCCACATCCCCTGCTACTCCTTCAGTGAGTGGAAATGTTTAGGTCAATATTGATATAAAACTTCGTGAACCCTTTTCTCTTTCAGCTTTGGTTCGCCTTTGTTAATGGATTTTCGGGGCAGATTTTATTTGAGCGCTGGTGCATCGGCTTGTACAATGTGGTAAGCATTCACAATTTTTATCTGATAGCATGCAGAACTCGAGGGACATTCCTTTAGTGTTTATGTCTGGGAAGTGTATCTAAACCAATCATCTGTGTACTTAGCAGGCAGCACAAATATATCTTTAGGGCCTTTGTTGCTGCGACACATCCTGCAGAAGCCCAAACTCTCCACACATGGTTTCAATCATAGCAGATCATTCTTGAATAACCCCATGAAATTATTAACCCATATATCTTGGTAATAGACCTTTGTTGCCCCTTTACTAAATGCCTGTGTGACATTTTGGGGTAAAAATTTCTATACTATATCTAAACTCACTCTGCTTCCTAATTTTACTTCTGAATTCTGAAATATAGATATAAACAAAGAATATATAATCTAGTGAATGTTTTGCCCTCGGTGGGAGAGTATCTATCCTAATGGAAGAAAAATTTCTCAATAATAAATCCCAACTTCCAGCTCCTGTGAGAATGCTCACCAGCATCTTCGGTGTTTTTCATCATTTTTCAGTTCTTTCTCACTACTCGACAGAAAAATAAGTATAAACTATAAGATGAAATGTCTCAATACTCTGTCCAGATTTCTTGTTTCTTGTTTCACTGGTGGAAGTAATAAAGGGCCCATAGCTGAGAGCCGTGGTGACCCGGAAATGGCCCACCTCTTGAGCCGTTCTCTCTTCGTACATTGATTTTCGCTTCCTGGCCATGGCATTTAAGTTCTGAAGCAGCTATCTCAGGGAGGTGTGAATGGGCTCAGAGAGCAGGGCCTAAAATGGCTAAAATGGCTTGTGGGTCTGTGTACATTGTGGCTGTACATTCACATCACTTAGCCCTCTCCTCAGAATAGCTGCCCTGCTGAGAATAAAATGCTGAACACAGTGTGCCCCAGGCCTGTGTGGCTTACAAGTACAGAGAGTCAAGTGTGTGAACTCAAACACTGAATGTTCATGGTCTGCTGGTCACTATTACCCACTGCAAAGTGCACTGCGTGTGTCTGCTGATGCTCCAAAAGGCAAAGTAAGCAGTAGGGAGAGCAGGGTGAACTAATGTGCTAGAAAACTTCTCTAGCCACTTCCCTCATGGACAGAGTTCGAGGGCCTCCCTTCAATGTACTAGGGAGAGACTAGAGATAGCTTCCAAAGACTTGAAACCTCTCACAAAAGCAACCCACACACCTAACAAACACGAGCCTGACTCTTGGAGGCTGTGCTGTAGAGCTAAGAGCAGCCCAGAGTGCATGTCACCTGCTCATGGGATGGGTGGGATTCAGCCCTTTATTCATACTCAGGTTATAATGATTTTCTTAGGTCTGTGTAGCCTTGGTGTTTCAAATTAACCCGACCAGTGTTAGGGGATCCCTGCTCTACACCAGATGTGGTAGTCTGAAGCACAATGGAAAAGCAAAAAGGAGTGCAGAAAGTTCCTTTATTCTTGTACTCTGATTCCGCAATTATTAGCACTTGCCCCATTTGCTCTCTCTCTTTCTCCATACGTGTGCACAGCTGCGCATGCGCGCGCGCACACACACACACACACACACACACACATACACACACACACAGAGTTGAGTGCACATCACACTTCAGTGCATAGTTACAAGTCTATATAATCACAGTATAATGATCAAATCAGAAAAACTTGACGTGAGCACCAGACTACTTAACAAATCCATAATTAGCCTTGTTGCTATTGTCCCAATACTGTCCTGTTCTGCAGTTGGTTCCAGTCCATGGTCAGAGACTCACTACTAGAGGCAGCCTGCAGCCTGCAAAGCACTGCAGGGTCTGTCTTGCCTGGCATGGACTTTCCCTTCTCATTTTCTTTAAGCAGCATTTCTTTCCTGTTCTTTCTTTCTTTTTTCTTGTATTAATTTTTGTTTGTGTTTGATTCTCCCAGCCAGCTAAAGAAGCAAATGATTGTTTCTAGGTTTAATTGTCTCTGTGTGTTAAAAACTGAAACAGCATCTCCCTCAACCATGAGTTAATTCTGTCCACTGTTTAGACCCCCCCCCCATCTGTGTTTTCACTTTCTGAGGCTTCAGTTTCCTGCAATCACCTATAGACTGAGACTATCAAAATGAAAATTCCAGAAAAAGATCATAAGCTTTAATTGTTTTATGGTGGCATTTTGTCATGCTAGCTCTGTTTTATTAATAACTGTTGTTAACCTTAACTGTGCCAATTTAAAAATTAAACATTATCATAGGTGTATGTGTGTTTAGGAAAAATTATATTGTATGTTGGGTACAGTCCTTCCCGAGGCATAAGGTGTCTACTGAACACAGCTCCTGCTCTAGAACTATAGTTTAATTTCCACATCAGTTTATGGGAAGAATTGAGACTAAAAAGGCCACCAGGGAGAAAAGTTGCCTGGATCAGATGGATTTAGCTAAAGGTTATGTAATTTTTTAGTGAGAAGATAACTCTAATCTTATTTCAATTACTTCCAAAAATTAATCCTGTTATCAAGCCAGTGTAATTTAAAGAAGAAAACTATGACCATCCCTTACTTATAAACACAGAAATTCTAAATAAAATATCAGCTAATGGAGTTCAATAATGTGTTTAAAAGTAAAGTGTTTGACAAAACAGGACTGGTTTTAGGGATAAAGATTCAAAAACTTAAGAAAAGCAGACTCCCATCAGTAAATATTACAAAAAATATGTGAAGCAGTTCAGCAGGCATTCTCAAAATAAGACCTAGGAATATAACAGAAATGCAAAGAAACTAATCAGCCATAGCTGACACTATTTTTTTAAACCAGTAGTGAGTTGCCATAAAAGGCAAAATCTAAAAATTATTTCATGTTAAATAAGAAATTAGTTGGAATTCCTCCTATTAATGCAGAATTCAGCATTGTTCTGGAATTTTCAGCAACTGCCAAGATGATTAAATAGCTATTACAGATATTGGGAAATCATGAGCAATTTCAATCCTTATACAAATATTCATGCAAACTAAACTGTAGTTGGATAAATGTGCTCAGATATGATTGTTTATCCAGAAAACCCAGAAGAAACTGACACAAAAATACTAGAGTGATATAAGAATTTAGAAAGGGCCAGATAATGGTATAAAAGTAGCTTTTTTTTCTGACCCAGCAATCAATAATTTTATTTTTTTTAACTCTACCAATGAGCTCCTAAAAATGCACAAATTCTAATAATTCCTTTCAAATAGTAATTAAACTTACACATTGCTGAAGAGGGTGGCATGTGCCTATGGCCGCAGCTGCTTGAAAAGCTGAGTCGAGGGGATCACTTGTGCTCAGGATTTGGGGCTCAGTCTAGGTAACATAACATGATTCTGTCTCTTAAGTTTTTTTAATTGTAAATTACATAGGTATAATTTTATAGCATCCATATGAAAAACCCAAATATTATTGGCCTGTTATCCTAATTACTACAGAGGTTGAAGCAGAAGGATTTTAAGTTCAAGTGCTACCTGAATACAAAGTGATTTCAAGTCTGGCCTAGGCAACTCTCCCTATCTCAGAATTTAAAAAGAAATAGAACTGGGAATATAGCTCAGTGTAAGTACTTGTCTAACATATACAAAGCCTTAGATTCAATCCTTAGTACCACCCCAAAAAAAAGGGTAAATAAATAAATAAATACAGACTAAAAACCAAGGTTTGTATAGAAAGGTATATTGTTTTCTTATATGAAAAGATAATATATTTAATGTATAAATTTACATGGTCCACATATGTTTGGGGGAAAAAGAGGAGCTGTGTGAGATTAGAGAAATTATAAATGAGATTAATGAGTACTTGAGAATAAATACTCAAAACGTTTAAAAAGATCAGTAGGGTAGATTTTACTAAACATCACACTATCCCCTAAAGCACAAAACACAAATCAATGTGCTCCTGACATAGACTTAGACAAATAAATCAGAGATTCTAGAGATAGATCCCACTTCTAGAATCTAGAACTCTATTATAACAGAATCTAATAAACTTTAATGGTGATTTTTCAACTTGGTGGAAAAGTATGAATTAATTGTGTTTTCACATCTGGTTCACTATCTGGGAAAAATGAATTCCTAGCATATACCATATAGAAAAATAAATTCCAAATATGTTAAAGACTTTAACAGGGAAGAATAAAACCACAAGAATCCCCCAAGACACTTTTGGAACCTACACATAAGCTCCAGGGCAGGGAAACTCTGTCCACAGTTGGACACTCCAAAGGTACCTTCACCATTTTAAAATTAAAAGCTTTTATGTTGCAAAAGAAGCCATTGAATAAAACAGTAGACAACGAATGCATTTAGATGTAGTTTTATAACATAAAAAAGAAAAACCTTTAAAAAAAAAAAACATTGGGTCCATTGTAATTGACAGACTCTTAGAAAAAGGGATAAACCATGGTAAAAGTAGACAAAGGACCTGACTAGATGCTGCCCAGAACTGTACACCCAGATGGCCAACATGTGCAGACTCACTGGTAAACAGGGAAATGTAAAAATTTTAAAGTAAGAGTTAATATCTTGACTTTTTCAGACAGGAGAGTAATAAAAGACAGATATAAGGGCCGCAGATAGGGAAGCAAGGGAAAGGTCACGATTGTCCTCTGCAAAGGGACATATAAAAGATTGGACTCCTTTAACAAAAGCCACAAGGCAGCATCTTATAAAAATTAAACTATGTGTTTTCTTTTATACCCGGCAGCTCTCCTTCCCATGGAAATAAAAGGAAAACATATATGGTATAACATATTATAGAAGTTTATTACATAATGCTTATAGTAACAAAAACTGAAATCAAAATGAATGCCTGTCAGTGGATGAATAACTCAAAACCATGGCACATCCCTGCTATGAGTTATTATGTGAGCACTAAAAAGAATGCATTAGTGTCAAGTCCATGAGCTTGGAGGGCTTTCCATGATGTACTGTTTAGCAAGAAATCAATGATGAAGATAAATGTGTGTAATGTCTCCTTTTTGTAAAACAAATCATGGTCCCCAACCAGTCTATAAATGTGGCTGTCATATGCTTTAAGCAGAGTGAAAGATGGTAGGGCAATGCTGGGCTGTGCGCCAGTAGTGAGGGATAGAGAGGGCTTGAAGTGGATAGAGGAGAGACTCAAGTTAAAGAGGCAAAGAAAAGGCCATCAGAGTTCATGCTAGCACACACATGGATTGATGCAGGACACTGGATGTAAAAGCAGGAACCCAGTGTGCACAGAGCTCATGAGATGGTTCGTGGGAGTGCCTTCTGCTAGCCATGAAACACCTAGCTTTTGTTCCTACAGAGAAGTGACAGCAGTGATTCTCAGTCTTCTCTCAGTACTGCTTTCCATCAGCCCTAGGCCAAAGGGAGCACATGAAAGATTCCCGGGTCTTACTCAGTATACATCTGATCCCAGCAGACTAGGAAAATGCTTGTTTTGCTGGCCAGAGACACAGTCTCCAATTAATTGATGTGAGTTCAGTATTCTTTTAGAGAGACATATCAGATTCCACAGCTGGAGAGTTTGTTGGATTTGTGGGTATGGATTCAGTCAAAGCAGATACTACATCATAAGTGACCCAGTCTCTTTGAACCATGCCAGAACTAAGTCAGAGAGTGACCCAGGGCCCCACATGTCCCAGACTAAAATGGCTCATTCCTTCCAAACCCCTCTTCAGCATCTAGCTTTCTTTCCAGCACATTTGACCCCTAGGGAGAACAAGTAAAAGTTGGCATTGTAAAAGCCTCTATCTGCACAAGACCTCAGCATCACAGAGATTGTTTCTTTAGTTTCCTGCCCATCTCTGCACTGTGTCTTCAGTCAGCCACCATCCTTTGTGTGCCACAGGTTTCCCCAAAACGTAATGGCCGTGCCTCATAGCTAGTAAGGGGCACTCTTCTCACAGGAAGCTTCTGAGGTAACCCTTGCCCATATTTGGCATCATCTTGCCATATCCTGTAGGTGCAACTCTGTGTAGGTCACATACTCTGACTTGAGTCTGCCCATAGCATTTGTGCCGATCTTCTCCACACCATTCCCACTGAGCCACCTTGCCAAGCCCTACCCTGCTGTCCCAAGTCACCACCTCTGCAGTAGACAGAGCTCCGCAGATTCCTCACCTCTCATCCTCAGTTTTAGGAATCTGAATTTCCAGCGCTCACCACAGTGTCTGCCCCATATCTCATTCACAATAAATGTCTGTTGAGTGAACAAATGGGTGAAATACCTGTGCTTCCTGAAATTTGAAGATATATCAGGAGGAAAATTGTAAAGTTGTGCAGCTGGCACTGACAGAATGCCTGGCACTTCCCAGACTAACTGTGGTGTGCATCTCCATTGCTACTCAGCCTACACAGGAGCCAGCCATTCACCAAACAGGATTTCTGAGTTCATCAGGTATTTCTGGTTTTTAGTATTCCACGTTTTAATTTACATGGATTAACAGTAAGAAGTGGTCACTTGTTTATTTCCTTTGTTCTGTTTGAAGGACGTCTGATTAGTTGTGAATTATAGGGTCTCAGGTTTGGACAGAATCTGAAACATTGGCTCTGTGCAAATCGCAAGGGCCACTCCTAATGGCTTATTGTCTCCACACAGATCTTCACCGCGTTGCCACCCTTCACTCTGGGAATCTTCGAAAGATCTTGTACTCAGGAGAGCATGCTCAGGTTTCCACAGCTCTATAAAATAACCCAGAATGCTGAAGGCTTCAACACAAAGGTAAATGATGCAATCAAACAGCTGACACCAGAGCAGGACAGCCCTGCCTCTGTCCTTCTGCCCATGAGACAAGTGATGCCTGAAAGAGCACATTGAGAAGCTGTGAGGCCTGGGCATACCCCCTTTACATACAGACCTGGAAGCTAGGGACACCCCCTGAGGCAATACTCTGTCTTGCGGGCTGGCTCCTTCGGTCTACCCACCTGTCTTCTTCCTTCCACTGACAGGTCAGATATCCTGAGGACAGCAGCACCCTGAGCTGTGTCCTTTAGAATAAGTCTTCTACTTTCATGCAGACCTGGGTTAAAAGCTGGTGTGAGCCTGATTTTTGCTGCTTTTAATTTTTCTTAATTATTTATTTATTTTTATTTTATGTGTATGAGTGTTATGCTTCCATGTGTGTAAATGTACCCATGTGTGTGGTGCCTGAGAAAGACAGAAGAGAGTGTGGGATCCCCTGTAACTGTAGTTACAGATGGTTACCACCATGTGGGTGCTGGGATTCAAACCTGGGTCTTCTGCAACAGCCTGTGCTCTTAACCACTGAACCATCTCTCCAGCCCCCTGCTGCTTTTAATTCTGTGTGTGTGTTACTTACCATATTGGCTGGGCTGGCTAGAAAGAGTTTCTAGGATCTACCTGTCTCTACCCTCCAGTGCTGCAGTTATAGGCTTTTACGTGGTTTGGGGATTCAAACTCAAGTCCTGTTTTCACAGCAAGAATTCTTACCCACTGAGCCACCCCCCACCCCCCTAGTTCTTGGTTTCTAATTTTAAAGGAAGTATTCCTTTAGTTAGTAAGTTTGGCTAGATACAAGTGCACAAATCAATTCTGTAATGCTGTGGTTTTGTTGTTATTAGTATTATTTTTGTTTTTTTTTTCCAAACTGGAGAACCAGAAAATGGAAAGTATCCAGGTGCAAGTTTAACATCTTTATCTGAAGTGCTTAGAACCAGTAGTGTTACAGATTTCAGAGGGTTTTTCTTGAGGAGCATGGACTTGCATATATTATATGTCTTAGAGATGGGATCCAAGTGTAAATACTCAGCAAGTGCTCAACAAGTGTCAGATTTTGAAGCATTTGGGATTTGCTATTCTCAGATTAGGGATGCTCAACCTTATATAGGTTGTCCTGAGAAGACCCAGACAGAAGATGGGTTGCATGTAAAATTGGTAGAACAGTCTCGAATGCCAAAGTGGGCCCGTGCCATGGCCCCCTGTCACACAAACGCTGAAAGTGGTAATGTAGGTTAGGTGTGGCTGCCTGAAGGGAAACCGTGAGCCTCCCCTGCAGAGGAGGCAGGATGTGAGCCCATAGCCTGGTCAGGGTACTGAGTGGGAGAGGATTATGAGGATACATTGAGCCACTTTGGCAAGCTCTTTCTGAGCAGATGTTGCTGATGGGTGACTGTCAGAGCAACTTTATCTTTGGGCAGGTTTAATAGGTGTATCCAAGATTAGAAAAAATAGCAGGCTCTTCTGTCTTCCACACAGACTAGGGTGACTGACTTGTCAGTCTTTGTTTACTGAGTCTGTGAATGGGGAAATACGACCTTATTTTCTGCATTGCTTACATAAATCAAATCTGTTCTCTAGAGTTTGAAATCTGAGAGCTTTAGAGGTGGCACGTGAGCAAAGAATGAACCCACGTTAAAAGTGGGGAAACTGGGGATGCTTCAGTCTTAGGCAGGCACCTAGAGAGGTCAGGGAGAAGAGGCAAAATGGGTTGAGGTAACAGCTCAGTGGTACAGCATTTCCTAGCACATGAAGCCCTAGGTTTGGTCCCAACCACCACAATAAGTGAATAAATAAGTAATAAATAACAACAAACCCAAGCACCACAGGAAACTAAAGGTAAATAAAATGCAGATAAATCCAGTTGTCTTCCTATGACGATGTTTTTTACTCTTTTCTAACTGCTGTTGTCTAACCGCTATTTAATCATCTGTGCAACAATTCCCAAAACAACTTATGGACTGTTAAGCAAATTTTACTTGTATTTAATAGCTCTGTCATCTCAGTAGTTAAAAAAATGACTGGAAGGAGCTAGGCTGCCACTTGGTGGTACAGCACATGCTGAGCTTGGGTTCAAAAAGTAAATAAAGATTGAAATGCCCATGAAGCTACTATTTAGAGCGAACTGAACTTTGTGCCCTTTTGTTTTACATTTTAAACATTAAAATAAAAGAAAACCTTTTCACCGTTTTAATTTACTTTATTTCGTGTGTATGTGGGGAAGGGGGTATACCCATGGTATATGGAGCTCAAAAGTTGGTTCTCTCCTTCCACCATGTGAGTCCCAGAGATTGAACTCAGGTCCTCAGGCTTGATAGCAGGTACCTTCACCTGCTGAGCCATCCCGACAGCTTCCAAACAGATTTTTTTATATACATGGCATTAACCCCAAACCACAAATGATAGAAAAAAATTGAATGACAGGCATTTTAAGATTTCAAAGAGCAAAATTAAAATGAGAATTTATGTGTAAAAGGGGTTTTAATGCTTTCAAAATTAACACTATTTTAGTTCCTTATATCCAGTTGGAGCCTAAGCCCTTTCCTCTGAGTGATTATAAAGTGTTGCCTGTTTTATGATGGAGAACGCTCATGTATGGAAGCTTGGTTTTCAGATATGGACGGATTGTGTATCATCTATATATAGGCACATATTTTGTAGTAAAGTAATACTATCTGGAGATAGTCCAGCCATCTATATGTATGTAGGAGGAAACAGATGTTTTTCTGGGCTTTTTAAAATTTGAGACCCACAACGCCTCTCGCAGAAGCACACAGCCTCCTGCCAGGAGCCTTCACAATGCCTTGTCTGTTGCAAGTTGCACACAGAGGTCGAGAGTCCCGAATGCTCTGACTCCCTTGGTTTGTCTTCCTGCAGGTTTTCTGGGGTCACTGCATCAACGCCTTGGTCCACTCCCTCATCCTCTTCTGGTTTCCCATGAAAGCACTGGAGCACGGTAATGGCTTCATGATTTCAGCCGTCAGCAGGGAACTTCACAGCCCCTCTGAGGCCAGCGAGTTCACCACCCACCTCCCAACATGAGATCACAAGAGCACATTTGATAGGGAACACATACATAAAATCCGACATGAGAGTTCCAAGTCTGTAGCCTGTAGATCTTGCCAGTTTTGACCTTTTCTGTATAAATATTAGAAACTCCGCACTCAATTTATAATAACTGAGTCTTTGACCTTAAGGAAACACTGATGCCTCTCGCCCAAGATTTTGAAATCCACTGTTAATTGGTTGAGCTTTCCTTTCCAAGCCTCCAGTACCTGTGTGCACAGTCCTTCAGATCTTACGAGTTGAATCTACTCCTTGTTTTCTGAGGGTCCCCTCTCCTTGGCGGGAATCTTTTGGGGTGATTGTGTGGTTGAGGGCTGTTTCTCCAAATTGGTTTTAGTCTCTGCAGGGACAGAAGGATGAGTGAACACCCTGACAGCCTGTGTTCATTCACACTTTTTAATACATCTGAAACATGGCCTCCAAGATGAGATACCTATCCTGAGTCTCAGAAAATGAAAATAGACTATAAAATGCCACTCTTTCATCCCTCTCAAATAGTCATAATCCCCCTGGGAAAATTAACTGCAAATGTTGACCAGACAAGGCCCTGGATTGTCCAAAGAACCAAAGAATATAAAGTTTCCAAGCATCTTTGTTTCTGTGTCCTACGTTCCATGCTTCAAACAGGAATGACTCATCCCACTTACAGCCTCTAACCTCGGCGCACCAGAAAGAACGCACACAGTCTATTATGCCCTGTGAGCTCTTCCTTCAGTCCCTTCCAACTCCTTTCTTTCAAAGGTCCTTCAATATTTAGATCAGAAAATAAAAATTTCTGCTTTCAGATTCACTTCCCCAAGCATTCTAGCAAAATTATTTTCTTTTGTCTTGAAAACCTTTTTATGCTTCATCTTCGCAGTGCATTTTATTTTCTGATGGTACTTATAAGCAAGGGTTTATGAGCAGAAGACCGTGGCTGACTCCAGATCGCGTATCCTTCCTACCTAGCCTGGGCTTCTCAACTACTAGGATTGCTGTTATTGCTTTTAACTGACATTTTAAAAGATGCATCCATTCCTCTCCCTAAGAGCATAAGAACACAGCACCAATTTGAGGCTTCCAAAGCAGAGGGGCTCCATTCTAACACAAGAGTACCTTCAGACCTGCCTCCCTCCTCCCTCAGGTGTGCCCTGAAGCCATCCCTTAGCCCCATCCATATCCACAGCCCTGAAGGACCTCTGTCTGACCAGGACTGAGGCCCTTAGAATGGCTTTGCATTGTCATTTTCCACCATGTGGATTATGTGACAAAATCAGTGATTTGTACTCTGCAGTCCTCTCCTACCATTGGTGGCAAGAGGCTCAGGCACCTGTCAGCACTGTTCACTGTTGTCACGGCAACATGATCAAGTGGAAGAAATAGTCTTGAGAAGGTGTGGGCAGGATGTTGGTTTCCTAGACTGTTTCCAAGAATTTTTCCTTTGCTTATTTTTGAGTGGTTTTTGGATAGGCCTTTCAAAGCAATCTTGCTGAAGGAGTTTGTGATGATTCATTTTAAGTTTCAAAATAAATTTTTCCTCTCAAGCAAGTCAATAAATCAGATTTCTCTCAGTCCTCTCACCCTCAAGCTTCCACCTGTGGTTTGCCTAAAGCCTCTGCGCTTTGATCTGAAAAGTAACTTTAGGTTAAGACCATGGATGCCACCTTCTCAGACACCTGTACTCATCAAGAGTCTTGGTGTCAGGCCATGCTCGGCTTTCCACTGGCATTTCCAGTCTACATAGTTGAGCAGCCCTCCTTAAAGTGGAATGTGGTCATTGGCAAAAGAACATAAAATACATTTTTATTTGAAAAAAAATATTTCAGATTTTTCTTGATGAAATTTATGAAGAAAGAGATGGAAAGAGAGAAAATACTTATCAGAAGAGGAAGTTTCTTTTAAAATACTGATATCAATTTCCCAGAATCCACAGTGGATATAACCTCTTCACTTTTAAGAAGAAAATATACCAGGTAGATACTTAAATATCGACACCGATCAATAAATAGGGTCGGTCAACATTTTTAAAAAAGACAATTGTGTACTTTAATGAATGTGTTACTACAATAAGATCAGGTGTGTTTTAGATACTGGTGAAATAACTGTCCATGTGTATAAAATAAAAGTCAGCTTACTGCCTCTGCTTCTGCTCATGACACTGGTGAGTCATATTATCCCAAAGTATTTATGACCTCTACCTTGATACTATACACTTGAATGTTGTGTAGACTATAAACCCTAATGACTTGTATTATTTCACCTTAAGCTGAATTTAGACAAGACTGCCAGTGTTCTTCTTAAATTCAATTATTCACTCACTTAAAAAAGAAAAAGAAAAAGATCAATGAGCTCATTCTGTAGACTAGGGTCCTTCCGAGTCCTGGGGACACAGTAGTGCTCATGACAGGTGACTCTCTTCTCTCCTGGAACTCATGTCCAGAGACAGCCTGAAGAGGGAGGTCAGATGGAATGTATTCCTAAGAACCCTAACCTTCTGGACCATAAAGACTGCTTCCCAGAGTAAGGGGCAGTGGAGCAGAGTATGAGTCAGGATCCCAAGGTTCTGTTCTTGTCATGTTGGCCAGAAGCTCAGTTGTTTATTTTTCTCCCATTCAAGAGTGCACTGGTCATGGGCATAACTATATTTTTTCTGTTTTTCTATACTCTTGATGCTCTGGCACTGAGGCCTTGATGCAGGAGAGGCTGCCTTCAAGGGCTGGCTAATTCCTAAGAATGGCCAGTGACATGCTCTTGACATACAGACTCGCCTCCAGGCATCTCCTCATGAGACTCTCACTAAGCCAACACTCCTCTTCCCTGGTCAGCCAGGACCACTGTACCAGTATCAGGCAACACACCCATGGTCCACGCCTGCTGAAAGTATTCAAACTGCTATAACCCTAAACTTGTTCACAATATCTGTCCTACCCTGATCATTCCTTTCTCTAAGAACTCCAGTGAAGGCTCTGGCCATGTTCCACCCTCTCACCCTCTAGCCTCCTCCTGGGATACTCCATGGAACTTTCCTGTGTGGCATGCCTGGCCTCCTGATTTCAGTTGTAAGGAAGTCTTAAACTCTCTGAAATCATTCTAGTCTACTAAATGAACAAGAGGATAAAGAACATATACTTTTCAACTTTTTAACATACCTGGTATTAAACCTAGGACCTCACCCATGTTAGGCAAGGCCTGTACCACTGAGCTACATACCCAGCCTTCTTTTTGTTTTATTCTTTTTAATTTTGAAGTAGAGTCTGCTGACTTACCCAGAGTGGTCTGGTCTCCTGTACTTAGTCAATAACCCAGATAGGTCTTGAGCTTAGCCTCCCAAATAACTGAGATTACAAACCTGGGTCCCTAAGCCTGGCTAACATGCAAATTTTCATTGTGTGCCTAATCTTGGAAGCCTCACACAAAGAACTCAAAGAAGGGCAAGGTAGCTGACCTTATAGAGTGTGACACAGGAGCAGGTACACAGTCTTCTGGTGGGTAGAAGGTGGCTCTGGCTATGGAAGTTTGGGGGAGAAGGTGCACAGCCAGCAAGGCCATCTTTCAGTGCAGGTGACAGCCATCTGTTTCATCTGTGTGGGGGTTCAAGCAGCAAACTCCCCACCCTTTCATCTTGAGGCCAGATCGTTCCTGGGCGGAGGGGATATCAGAAAGGCTTTTGTCTCCACCTGTTATTTACTAACATAGCTACATGTGAATTTCTTTTAACAAAAGGACAGCTTTTCAAAATTATTCCTGTGCTTAGAGAGGTCTACAGTTTCTGTGAGTAGTCAACATAAAATATGCTGAGCAAATATATTTAGGGCCAGGTATTTTGCTCTCCTACAGAGGGGTCTCTATATATGACTATCTCTGTCATGCAGTGGTTTCCATGTCTGCATGTCCTACCACACCAAGTTCCTGCAGTAGTTGGTTCAGTGCCATGGGGCTCCCCTGAGTTTATGTCCCCTGAGCTCACCCTCAGCTTCCACGTTAGAAGGGGAGGATTCAGAAGGATTTGTTCTTGAAGGAATCCGTCACTTCTGCTCATATCTGATTGACAGGAATTTGTTATGGGCCCCACCCAGGTACCAGAGGCTGAGGAGTGCCACTCATCTCTGTACCAGGAGAAGGAAGCCTATCTGTGGCCTCACTGCTTTGTGGCATCAGCATCAAGTTTACTTTCTCTCGTTTTTACTTCCCTTTCAACTCTATTTTTAGTAAACAAAAGTGAAGAGATTGAAACTTGAGTTCCATATCCTTAACTTCATCCAGCTGAAAGGCAGCATCGAGGAGAAAATCCAGCAGAAGGCTTATATAACCAGGAACTTAACCCAGCACCGGTTATGAATGTAATTATAATCACTAACACTTGTATAAACCCTCCTTTTTAGGGAATACTTTCCAACATTTCATACCACTCTTTACAAAGAAGGGGGGAAAAAATAAATGTTCCCTTTATGAATGTGAAATTGGAAGCAGAAATAATAGTGTTAATGATAGTACAGCCATGTGAGCAGGTTTGGTTCTGAAAGTTTATTTGTAAGTGAGTTATCTCAATCTTGGACTACATCTTTGCCCTTGATATAAATCTAGGAGTAGCTAGTTGTCACACCTCCTCTGAGCCTCTGGAATTCTAAGAGGCCCAGAGACTTAGGTGGGGGGTGGGGAACCGGTTCAGAGTCTGGAATCTGTACTGCTCTGAAATTTGTGCTTTTGGAAGTCTTGAATCAAAAGGATAGGAGAAAAAGGCAGGAACTTGGCATGAGCTCTGACCAGAATGTCTTGGCAAAAGCTTTGATGACAAAGGAATTGTGCCGGTTCTCCAGAGCCTCCCCAGCCCCCAATGCTGTCCATGGGAGCAAGATGCCTGTGGCTGTAAGTTCAGCTGTTCCCTGATTCTTATTCCATCAGAAATACACT